TCAATACGTTGCCGTAACCACAATTAATATCTACGATTCGCGTATCCTAGAATCAAATGCGATATAAAATTACATTTTCACTGGTGGCAGGACGTCTTGTGAGTACGCATAGGTAGGTACCATCAGCCCGCCTATTTTTGCCGTGAAGCAGTAAGGCGTTTCAGTTTGACGGGTGGGGCAGTTGCTGTGCTGTAAAACTGAGACGCCGAACCCACTGTAGCAGCGTTTACGTCATTGATGTCTATGTGCTCCGAAGACCACTGAATATCAGGCGGGCAGTGAGTTCATCGACCTATCTAAGCAATAAAAAAAATTTAACAAACAGTACTCACCTCTGATGTATATATAATTGTAAAGATAGTGATTAGTTTGAACAGGCGATGTCCGCGTCGCGCCGAGTCGCCGCTTCAAGACGGAGTGGTAACCGATACTGTACTGTCTTTACTACATACATATTCTGTATGTATATTCACGCCTTTCGTTTAGGTGTTGGATGAGCAGAGGCTCACGAGGCTTGATGCAAGTTTGGCGGTTTTGGGGTCAGATGATCCTACGCTCACAGTAGTGTGGCTACTCATCAGAGTTTATCAGCGGTACTGGCCTATTGGACTGATGACTTGCGGCGATATGCTGAGATTGGATGCGGAAGGCGGAGGATCGTTCATTGTGGCGGACTATGGGAGAGGCATACATCCAGCAGTGGATAGATACAGGCTGATGATGATTGGCCTATTCCCTTATATATTTTTTTCCGTAATTTCTAATCGATTGTCTTCTCTTCCCCAACCTCTTCAAGTCGTGTCTCTATTTACTCTCAATTTAGTTGATGAGAGCGTAATATCGTCTTCTCGCGTTAAAACTGTATAATCTCAAAACTTACTAATTTTACAGCAGAGTGTTTTAAAGGTTTAACATGTGATATTTTTAATATTAATCATCTTTGCAACATTATTTTTTTTATATTTTACCAGTTACATTATTTATATTTTAAAGTAAGATAAAATTTTGTTAATAGCAGTCAATACATAGGAAAACTACAAAAAATTAAAAACTAAAACTAAACTGAGCTCTTTTGACAGTATTTATGAGAAAAATACTGGTGATGATACCGAATGATTCCGCATATTAATTCAATATTGAATATTTTTGGAAATTGCACATTTTTAACGCGAAAAGACGATATGCGAAGCTTATTATTTTAACTAGTGGTCGCCAAATAATCGAAATTCGACCATAAATAATTGAAATTATAAGTTTAAACATTATTATGGTTCTATTATCAAAGACTTTACTTCTGTAATCACAGATTTCGCTAAGACTATAGACAAATAATATTAAAGACAAACAATATCTATTCTCAATTATACCACAGACTTTAACAATAAACAAAAGAGTTTAAATGCGTGTGTGTGTCAAACACATGGTAGTGTGTGTAATGTTTTTTTTATTGAATTACTGTACTTTTATACATAATATAAACACAAATATTAGCATTTTGCACTTTTTCTCTATATTCTTTACAAGCGGCCCGCTCCGGCTCCGCTCAGGTCTTTAACAAAAATTTCAACGATATTTGACGTTGTTTTATTTTTTTTAATAAAAGAACACTTATTGCGGCATAACTATAATAGTTATACAGCATATGTCTGCTGTCGCGACACTTTTTGTAATTAATAATGTGTTCTAAAAAGTCGTAGTACATTATTTTATTCTATCATCAATAGTTTTCGCAAGGCATGCGATGTAAATAATATTTTAGGTAATTTTTTTACACCTTGGGTTACATTATTGGAGTTTTAGTAAGGATCCCTATTTTTTTTCCAAAAATATTATACCTACGTCACTCGGGAATAGTGTAGCTTCTAAACCGTGAAAGAATTTTTCAAATCGGTTCAGTATTTCGGAGCCTATTCAATACAAACAAACAAACAAATCTTTCCACTTTATAATATTAGTATAGATTATAATATTAGTATAGATAAGTGTGGAAAAATTTCATACTCCTCCGCCCAAGCAATTTTCTTAAAGAGGGTACAAAGTTTTTGCTTCACGTATTAATATAATACTAGAGGTCCCGCAGTAGTCGAAATTCGACTATAATTAACTGGAATTGTAAGTTTGTACACTATTATGATTGTATTTTATACTTCTATAATCACAAATTTCGGCAAGGCTACACTATAAAAAAATATTAATAAAGACAAACTAAGACTTTAATCTATTCTCAGTTTGACCACAAACGTCAAGAATAAGAGTTTGACAATAAGTAGTATGCATGCGTGTGTGCGTCAAATACATGGTATGTAGTGTGTGTAATGTTTTCTTTATTGATTTAATGTATCTTTTATGCATTATTTTAAAAAAAATATTAGCATTGTGCACTTCTTCTCTATATTCTCTATAAGTGTGCAAAATTTCATACTCCTCTGTCCGCGCAATTTACGTAAAAAGGGATACAAAGTTTTTGCTTCACGTATTAATATATAGATAGATTGCATTGATTGGTGAAAGAGCTCTTGGCCTACACGAGCGATGCTGTGTCGGTGTTGAAATCCCGATATCGGATACCGATATTCCTAATGAAGCACTCACTTAAGGCATGGTCACGAATGACTTTCACGACTAATGAATAATGTCGTCTAATAAAAATTAAACGCGCAAAAATTTTAATTTGCGTAATTATTATGTAATTAACTAACTATGTAATGAATGTGGACAAAACGAAAGCTACGTCGAATGCTCATGTTGTTAGTGCCCAGTCCAGTAAGCATCAGAAGCTCTGCGCTCGAAATTGTTGACAGCTGCGTCTGCCTGCCTGCCTGGCTAGTAGGACCTCTTTTTTACTGGTGGTAGGACCTCTTGTGAGTCCGCGCGGGTAGGTACCACCACTCTGCCTATTTCTGCCGTGAAGCAATAATGCGTTTCGGTTTGAAGGGCGGGGCAGCCGTTGTAACTTGAGACCTTAGAACTTATATCTCAAGGTGGATGGCGTATTTACGTCGTAATGTCTATGGGTTCCAGTAACCACTTAACACCAGATGGGCTGTGAGCTCGTCCAACCATCTAAGCAATAAAAAATAAAAATGTTGAACGGCAGAAATAGGCGCGGTGGTGGTACCTACCCGTGCGGACTCACATGAGGTCCAACCACCAGTAAAGGTCCTGCCACCAGTAAAGGTTATTAAGGGGACCTCAACGCATAATACTCCGACTTGTTGATCCGTAGCAAATACAAAGGGCTCCGAAATGCCTCCAGCTATTTGCTGCTGACATGACATTTGACACGTCAAAACTCCGTACCGTTACTGAGTAACTTCGAGCAATGAAAACATCTACAGCATTGATATTATCAACAGTACTGATATAGTATTATCAACATTTAACTGCGAACGTGCCATTGATATGGTTTTAAGTCACGATGTCCCAATCATCAATATATAATGTGCACAGAAATTAATGTGTTTTTTTTTTAGGAACTATAAAAAAACAACTTTTTTTTGAGTAAACGTGTGAATCTTTAAAAAAGGGAGCGTGTACTTATGTACGCGCGTAAGAAGTTATACTTTATTTTTATAATTTTTTATATTTTTTTTATATTTCAATTAATTTTAATCAATTTGAAAAAAAAAAAACGATTGAACAACATCCTCAAGCACGCATATTGGACATCCCTTTTCTTGACATCGTATAAATTCGGTGATTCTCGGTACGGTTCGGTAAGTTCACCTGCGGCTATATTCAGACTCGCCAAGTTTCGTCGGTCGTATTGTAATGAGCGATTTAGTGGGCAACTTCGTTTCTGTTAATTTTGTGTCACGGTGCGCGCGCATCGTTAAATTTCACTCTCATCAATTTTTCATAGCGCCTAAAGAAGTATAATTTCAATAAGAAAAAAACTGGAGGGATTTTTTTAAAATTAGATGTATGTATAAAAAAAAAACGCTTTTACACCGGTGTAATAATTCCTTTTTTTTCTTAAAGTATTGTATTGTGATCGGTAGTTGGATATTTGTTTAAATATGACAGTTCTCAAGATAGTCTTGAAGTTAGAGAAAATTATATTGAATGATTCCGTTACATACTGTATTTACACAGATTATATTTACAGACCAATATATATACAGACCAACTTAAAAAAAACGTGTTAAAATCAAAGGAGATTTAGGTTGAATTTAATTTTTTTTCACTAGCCAAATTCGGCCACATTTCCCTTGAACTATCGGTAAAAGCATGTATGAACTACAATCTGTAGTAGACAGCTATCTGTGCAATTGCCTATGTCCATTTGCTATGGTAAACACTTCCTTAAAAAGCAATAAAACGACTACACTACAAGCGAAGACACGCGCGTCGTCTCTCGTACCTCGATAGTACTATAAAAGAAATTTCTAAAGTTTTAAAGTCGTCGTGGCCTTAAGGTTAAGACGTCCGGTGCATTCGTATCTAGCGATACAACGGTGTTCGAATCCCGCTGGCGGGTACCAATGAAGGAATAAATAACATCGTGCAATAAAAATCAAACCCACAAAATTATAATTTGCGTAATTACTGGTGGTAGGATCTCTTGTGAGTCCGCACGGGTAGGTACCACCGCCCCGCCTATTTCTGCCGTGAAGCAGTAATGCGTTTCGGTTTGAAGGGTGGGGCAGCCGTTGTGACAATACTGAGGCCTTAGAACTATATCTCAAGGTGTGTGGCGCATTTACGTTGTAGATGTCTATGGGCTCCAGTAACCACTTAACATCAGGTGGACTGTGAGCTCGTCCACACATCTCAGCAATAAAAATAAAAAAAAGTCAATAGTGAATTAATTAAATAGGCTGCTTCCTAATTTATTTTTGCTTGTGACACAGCAACGCAGACAAACTCGTAACGATTATTAGTGAATTAATATGAATATTAATGATCATTAAACAACAGTTTTATGTTCAAATTTTATTTTAACGGTAAAGACCATTTAAAGCCTCGCAATTCACTTATAGAGCACATGAAGTTTCATAATGTTGCGCGAGCTGCTATGTATTATTATATTATTATTTATATCGAACGGCGGACGAGCTTGTCTTGTGGAGGAAACGGATTTATTGATGACTTACATTGTAAGTAGTTATTATTTATTCGTAGGTTATTACTTACTAATGTCATTTTGCAGTCTGCTATGAAGATATGAAGTCGTCGCTATGAAGTTGTCGTGGTCTAAAGGATACGTGTTGAACGATGCACCGGTGTTCGTATCTCAGGCGGGTACCAATTTTTCTAATGAAATACGTACTCAACAAATGTTCACGATTGACTTCCACGGTGAAGGAATAACATTGTGTAATAAAAATCAAACCCGCAAAATTATAATTAGCGTATTTACTGGTGGTAGGACCTCTTGTGAGTCCGCAGGGGTAGGTACCACCGCCCTGCCTATTTCAGCCGTGAAGCAGTAATGCGTTTCGGTTTGAAGGGTGGGGCAGCCGTTGTAACTGTACTTGAGACTTTAGAACTTAAACCTCAAGGTGGGTGGTGCATTTACGTTGTAGATGTCTATGGGCTCCAGTCACCACTTAACACAAGCCACAAAAAAAATTAAAAAGACAAAGATTAGGGAAAATAAAAAAATAGTTATTTTTTTAATAGGTTAGCAGACACGGCGATAAAACTCCGGTTCACTCTTATTCTAAGCCTATCAACGGTCTAGGGTTTGGAGCTTTCTTGCAAAAGATTGTTTTCGGTGAGAAAGCTAACGTAACGGTAAGTCAATGTTGCATTACATGATCGAAATTAGTATGTTTTACTTGCCTTTTATTTGTATGTGTACTGGAAATGTTTGACAAGCAATATGGTAATAAAGGGTTGGAATTGTATATTTTTTTTTAGCGTAGATGGGTGGACGAGCTCACAGCCCACCCGGTGATAAGTGGTTACTGGAGCCCATAGACATCTACAAAGTAAAGCGCCATTCACCTTGGGATATAAGTTCTAAGATCTCAAGTAAAGTATTTTAAGATTTTTTCTTTTAACTCATTGTTCGCTCGAATTTGACGATTAACTTACAATTTTTGGACTCAGGTAGACGTGACGTCCACCTGTGTGCTTAGTGCGAGTTTTTTAACTTCATGGACTTGGAACAGCTTCTGTTCATTTACCGCTAGGGGCGCTGTTAAAACTCCGTACCTACAAATTTGAGTTAACTTTTACATTAGATGGAGAAGTTAAAAAACTCGCAATAAGCACACTGATATTGTATGGTTATTGTCGCCCATGGACGTCAGAAATGCCAGGAGTAGGAGTACAACCAGGCCTCTGCCTACTGTTCAACACTCTTCACAGCTTCGTTCGAAGAGTTGTGTTTGTGAGCAGGTTTTGCTAAACTGTATTAACGGCAGTTGTTGGTCTATTTCATAAAAAAAATACAATCATTTTTATTAATGACATTTCTCAATACAACAATATAATCTGAAATTCCAAAAAAAATATCTTTGAGCCAACGCGTGCAAGTCAACATGCGAAGAAATGAGCACGTGAGACTGCGATGTTGATGTTCTTGTAGTTTAGTTACATTTTGTCAGATGGCGCTGCTTTTATGCATAGTTATGGATTTTACCGGACAAAATATTATAAGCTGCCATCGATTATAATTTTGAAAACAAAATATCAATTAGCTCTAACTCAATTTTTTTCAATAACATTAAGACTAATTGGCGTTTTTAAATGTGTTTTCTTTTCGTAATGTCAGGAATGTTCTTGACATTCAACATAGTTCACGCTTTATACTTTAGATGGCGCTATTATCAATATAAGAAGCGGTTTTTTTTTAATTCTAATAAAATAAAAAAAACTTATATTTTCAATTTCTTTTTTCTTTTTGTGGCCTGGTAACGATTTATATTTTCAGAAACAAATCAACAGTGGCTATGAAGTCGGAAAATTTATTAGAAAACGGTACGACACTCTGTTATCGGCCGATTTTGATCCCAGCGAGATTTACGTGAGATCGACGTTTTTCCCTAGGACCATAAACAGTGCTCTCTATGCGCTTTCCGGGATATATTCATTGAAGGAAGATGAGTGGTTGAAGCCCATGGATTGGATACCGTGCCCATATAATACGGTTTTGCCCAAATACGATTATGTGAGTTGTCTACATTTATTCATTACTATAGATTATTTAAAGGTGATTATATTACTATAACTGAAAGGTTTTGTAGTTTAGGCGACATTTCGCTTAATACGCGACATTTATTTTTGTATTTCTAGGTCCATGTTATTTAGTATTAGCATCAACAATTCAATGCTTTGAATTAAGCCTTATTCAAATAGCTGAAGAAGTTTGTTTGTTACAATATTTTTTCCAAATTATAAACTTTAAATGAGCCTAATATGTTGCAAAAGTGTCACTTAAACCAAATAGACTTTCATCCTTCGATATATCATCTAATATATAAAATTCTCGTGTCACAATGTTCGTTCCCATACTCCTCCGAAACCACTTGACTGATTCTCATGAAAATTTTTATGCATATTCAGTAAGCCTGAGAATCGGCTACTATCTATTTTTCATACCCCTAAGTGATTAGGGTTGTCCAACCCTAACATTTTTTTTTTTATTTGGACATATTTTTTTATTATACTGAGGTATTATGTGGTTGAATGAGGTTTTGTTATTTTTATTATATATTCCCTCATCGCTCACAGCACTACATACCTCTTTCACTCATTTACCACACCCTTACACACTTACAATAAATTAGTTTTTTTTTTCTACACTAGAAATTCCCTAGAAATCTTATATATGGCAAAACAATGTTTGCCGGGCCAGCTAATAAATATATAAAAATGAATTGCTGTTCGTTAGTCTCGCTAAAACTCGAGAACGGTTGGACCGATTTGGCTAATTTTGGTCTTGAATTATTCGTGGAAGTCCAGGGAAGGTTTAAAAGGTAGATAAATATGAAAATGCTCGGAATTAAATAAAAATAACAATTTTGTTTCTCCTTTGATGTGTCTCCCGTCGGACGGATTCCTTTTGTTTGTTTTAAGTTTATTTTATACAAAAGCTTAGGTCTTTTATTTATCGATTGAGGCAATACGAAGTGTGCCGGGTCAGCTAGTTATTAATAATTAAAACTACTTTTACCGTTTTATCTCTGCCCGAGTTAGAACCGCCGTCTTTTTTTTATTGCTTAGAGGGGTGGACGAGCTCACAGTCCGACTGGTGTTAAGTGGTTACTGGAGCCCATAGACATCTACAACGTAAATGCGCCACCCACATTCAGATATAAGTTCTAAGGCCTCAAGTATAGTTACAACGGCTGCCCCACCCTTCAAACCGAAACGCATTACTGCTTCACGGCAGAAATAGGCGGAGCGGTGGTACCTACAAGTACCCGCGCGGACTCACAAGAGGTCCTACCACCAGTTATTACGTAAATTATAATTTTTCGGGCTTGATTTTTATTACACGATGCTATTCCTTCACCGTGGAAGTCAATCGTGAACACACTCGAAATATTATGTCTTTAAAGAAATAAAAAAGACGTGCATAATTATATTATTAGACTTTTTGTTATATTTTTATTATTATTTGAAGATCAAACATTTTGTTACCCTTTTATAGTCGTCCGTGACCAAGAAAACTGTAAAGCATATCGTAATTAATTCAATTAAAGTGGTAATAAGCGATATGTTAAGTTGTAAACATGTATTTTTTAATTAATGTTCTTTATTTTTCGCAATAATGAAATAACACTTTTTTTAAACATATTATTATCCGCAACACGCTTCTTTTTTAATTATATCAAAGACTAATGAAAGTCGTTTGTAGTCAGGTTTGAGCCCCGTGAGCTCACCTACTAATTCGATGAATCTAGAATAACCCCTCGAGATTATTAGAATAGGTAGAAAATTAAAGAAAGCCGAAGTAAATAAAATACTATAATTTAAACCTTATGCTTTATTGCGTGAGTTTATTCTCACATATATTAAAGAAATTTGTAAAGGATTTTCGAAAAATAAAATAATACCTCATAAAAACTAATTAATTAAAAAAAATAAAAATACCTAGAAAATAATTTGAAATGGTAATTTAAAATTTTTATTAACTTATTAAAAACGTTATACTTGCGCGGGCTAAGATACGTCCGTATAGATTGATACTTAACATCAATAATCAAACTGCGCCATAGTCGGTATTTCGACGCTCCACACTTTATACGCATTAATAGAGAGTCGATTTATCGATAGTTCAAGCTCAAAGGCTTAAATACGTCCCGCGCGGTGCATACCACATGTAGAAGACACTTCGCCCGCATATCGTCTGTCGGCTGCGGTTTGAACAGTTCTGTCCTGGATAGAGCAATGAAAATTGATAAACACTAGAGGATGACCGAGCTTTGCTTGGTTTTTTTTTTATAAATTGTATTTTTTATGGAATTTTATTTAAATACGAATCACATATTGATAATATATTATTTGTTATATTCTTTCAATAAAAAAAAAAGTTTATGTTTAAGTTGATTATCGATAAAATTGATTATTGAAAACACGAATAAAACAACATTTTCTGAAAACAAATCCCGAAATCCCCTGTATACTAAATTTTTTGTAAATCGTTGGAGCCGTTTCTGAGATTCAGATTACACATATATATTTATATACAAGAATTGCTCGTTTAAAGATATAAGATAATTATTGGATTAAATTGAAAGTTTGTGCAATTTTTGATGAATTTTTGGCACTTCGATAATGGCTACTGTCAAAATGCTGTTACGCGCTGGGGTTCGGGATAAATAAAATTTCACCAAAGTACAATTAAAAACTGTATTCAACACTTAGAACACTTAAAACACTCAACAAACACTTTAAAACTCTCTATTCGCTTCTTCCGCTTCGCTTCAGGTGATCCGTTCGCTGTTTCGCTTCGAGTAGTTCCAATTACAGACTGACTGCGTGCCATCTCTGCAACGCTTTTATAGTCGAGACGAAATCCCTAGAATCGTCGAGAATATTCCACAAAAGTATAGTAGTGTGTGTTCCCGCCATCTGGCAATAGATGGCGTTGTACTTCTCGAACGTTCTAGATACTACTAGATCCTTCTATATTCGTTCGACTATTCGGCGATAGATGGCGTTACTCTTACCGGCGTAACAAAACGATTAACATGCGAATTTGGCGATTTTTTTATACATATATATGTAGAATAAGGATTGGAGCGCATAAAATATAACTTCCACTCTTCCAAAATCTTCTATTATAATAATGATTGATAATTAACACTTCTATTACGTCTTGCTCATTTTTCAACTCTCTTCGCTCTCCTCCAACTCTGTCTGTCATTCTCTTCTCCCTTTCTTTCCGTTTTCTCTCACTTACAATCTTAACGCTCCGTTTCACACTCTTCATACGTTCCGTTCTTACCAATCCTACATATGCGTACATACTCGTATTTCGGCGCAGCATTGCTAACTAAGTTTTGTTAAAGTTAACTGTTATAAGTCCAACGCTTGTAAGCACTTGTTTAAGATAGGAGAATTCATGAACAAACTACCCCCACTGTTACTACTATAGATACGCGTGACTATTATCGTACAACCGCCCTAAACATCTCATTTCGGATGCTCCCGATCCACTAACGGAGATTTTAGGTAATTCAAGCACCGGTCACAGATACGGCCCACTGAGTTTCTCGCCGGATCTTCTCAGTAAGTCGCGTTTCCGATCCGGTGGTAGATTCTGCGAGGCACGGCTCTTGCTAGGGCTAGTGTTAGCAACGTCTACAGGTTAGAGTCCCGAGAGCTCACCTATTCACTCGGTTACGCTGCCATAGCATCTCAAGGCTACCAGCTTAGGTAGGAAAAAAACGCATAGCACATTCCGGCTCAAGCAGTCGAATGCAGTGGATCTCTGTGTTGGCGCCAGTCTCTCCGTTATAAATACACTAGCGACACGCCCTCGCTTCGCTTCGGAAACTGTAGTTTATTATTGATTTCTCCACTATTTAATGGATGTTATTATACATATAAACCTTCCTCTTCAATCACTCTATCTATTAAAAAAACGCATCAAATTCCGTTGTGTAGTTTTAAAGATTTAAGCATACATAGGGACAGATATAGGGACTTTGTTTTATACTATGTAGTGATATATGTTTTTCTTTGGCTATATTTACACATATTATTAATTTACATACAAGCTCTTTTGAAATATTTATAAGGTGATTTAGTCCAATGAGTATTATAGTTTTATAGTGTAAGCTGATGTACAAAATAATATGTGCGTATTCTGTTGCTTTTGTGTTTTTGTAACTTAAATTTCTAAATTTCTCTTCTCTGTTCACATTCTACCTATATGTTATTTTGATTGTGGAAACATATTTGGTTATTGTTTTTTAAATATTACTTGTTTTTATTGTACTGTTTGTTTCCCAAATAAATCTATACTAATATTATTTTATATATTATTATAAAGAGGAAAGATTTGTTTGTTTGTTTCTATTGAATAGGCTCCGTAACTACTGAACCGATTTAAAAAATTCTGTCACTGTTTAGAAGCTGCACTATTCCCGAGTGACATAGGCTATAATCTTTTTTGAAAAACATTAGATATCCTTACTAAAACTACAATAATTTAACACAGGGTGAAAAAAATTACCTAAAATATTCTTTACATCGCGTGCCCTGCGAAAACTATTGATGAAACACATTATTATTTAAAAAAACTGTCGGTACAGCATATGTCTAACTATTACGGTTATGCCGCAATAAGTGTTCTTTTATTTTAAAAAATAAAACAATGTCCAATATCGTTAAAATGTTTCTTAAAGAACAGAGCGGAGACGGAGCGGGCCGCTATAAATAAAAAAATAGGTGACGTTTTCATTTCTTCACAGAACACAGCGTTCATGAACTGTCCACGTTACTCTACATTCATGGGCACAATCCTATCCGGCAACCGGGAGCTGTCTCCATTCCTGTCACTCTTCGAGAAGCTCTCGGGCTTACTAGGTTTCAACATCACCAAGAATCCCATGAGCCTTATGGGGCTTTACAACCTTATAGTGGCGCAGGTTAGTTACAATGGTGTCCACGTGTTGGGCCAACATGAGTTACATTTTTCTTATTGCTTAGATGGGTGGACGAGCTCACAGCCCACCTGTTATTGAGTGACTATTGAAGCCCTATCTACAACGTAAATGCGCCACCCACCTTGAGATATAAGTTCTAAGGTCTCAAGTATAGTTACAATGGCTGCCCCACCCTTCAAACCGAAATGCATTACTGCTTCAGGGCAGGAATAGGCAGGATGGTGGTACCTACCCGCGCGGACTCACAAGAGGTCCTACCACCAGTAATTACTGAAATTATAATTTTGCGGGTTTCATTTTTATTACACGATGTTTCCTTCACCGTGGAAGTCAAACGTGGACATTTGTAGAGTACGTATTTCATTACAAAAATTGGTACCGCCTGCGGGATTCGAACATCGATGCATCGTTTCAATACGAATGCACCGGACGTCTTAACCTTTACGGCCGTTTTCAATAACGCATCTGAGTTTTCGGATAGATAGCTATCTCCGAATATCAGCAAGAGCGTATCTATCCTTAGTTTGCGTTTCACAATCACGGATAAGTGCTATCTCTCTTTAACCAACAGTAGATAGCTTCTTCCCTCCGATTTATCCGAGCCTCTTGATACGTTTCGTTCTACTACAAATACGAAACAACATCAGGATCAAGACTTATTTTATTTTATTCTAAATTATAACTATAATTTAACCAGCATATTGTAGACTATCATAAACACATTTGTTTATAACAAAAAGTAATAAAAACATATGTAGATTTTTTTAAATTGGATGTATTGCTATTTTTATCCTAGTCGAAATTATGAAACGAAACGTTTTGACAGTCCGTTTGCCAATAAGCAGTGAT